TTTTTTTTTTTTTTTTTTTTTTTTTTTTTTTGCTACAAAGCTTTAGGGATGCCATTTTACTTATTTTAGAAAGAATATAGTTCTGTCGTTTCTTCTGCACCGACTTTCTATGAATACTTATTTTTCGGATCATACTGTATAAAAATAAAAATATGACTACCTCGAAAGTTGTTCAGTTAACGTAAGTTGAAATCAAGGTATAAGCGGCTATACACGCATTAACAACAAGGTTTGACAGGTTTACGCTCAAGTTATCGCTACTGCGCATGCGTGATAAAGATTTCTCAATGTATACCGCCTTTGAGTGTTTGTTTTAAAATTGTTCTTTTTCTTTCCTCCGCTGTAAGTGATCATCTGTCAATGCACAAGAACAAAGAAGGTAAATGCATTTGCATACTTAAAAATAATACTTGTGCATGTAATACTACATCTCCAGTTTGTTTCTTTTTTTTTATGTGTATGTTTTTCGCTTTGTATACATCTTTGCATGAATGAGAGGAAAACACACGCGCACACACCAGCACGCATTCGCACACACACATGTATATATATATATATATATATATATATATATATATATATATATATATACAATTGTGTATTTGGAAGCAATCCTTCTTTTATACAAGTTTCATTGAAGAAAATTGGCAAGGCACTACAATTAAGTTATTATTGCATTTTTATTGAATTCTTATAAGTGATTCTATATGAACAGTCAGTGTAAAAACTGTTCAAATATTCTAAGGATCAGAGCGCTTTCTGGCTAATCTGTTAGCCATTATTAAGTATGTTTTTTTTAAACTCAATACACAAGGACACACAAACATATATATATATATATATATATATCTATATATATATATATATATATATATATAGAGAGAGAGAGAGAGAGAGAGAATGTGAGATTGGGGTGTTTTTATGAACACGGTCAGCATGTTGTGGCCCTGTTCAGAGATAATGTTATTGAGCGGTAGATTCTCCATTTTATCATTAATGCTCCTATGATTTTAAATGTATTAAATAAGAAAAATGAAGAAGCCAGCTCTCGATGATATCAACTATGAAGAGGGCCAGAACATGCTGACCGTGTTCGGAAAAAACATTCCAATCCCGCTGGGAAAAAAATACTGCAATTCCTGTAGATACTTACATATATTCATACGTACACACACACACACACAAACAAACACATACACACACACACATATATGTATATATTCATACGTACATATATATATATATATATATATCATACGTACATATATATATATATATATATATATATATATATATATATATATATATATATATATATATATATATACAGTTAAAAATATCTTGATAATGAGTATTAGGTTAGTCGAAAGCCCTTTTACACGCTCTGTATACAGAATAGAAAATATTTTTACGAATGAAAGAAAAGTTTAATAAAAATCTAAATAGCAGTGTCTTGTCAGTCATCTCCAATAAAACGTATATATATACGTGTGTGTGTGCGTATGTGGCTGTGTGCGTGCGCGCGTATATATATATATATATATATATATATATATGGTGCGCCAGAAATACATCCCATATATAACTTTCAGAAATGCTTATTATTGTCTTACAATTTTGTGTGAGATATTTTATGTGGTAGGTGTTTCTGCTGATCCACACACACACACACACACACACACACATATATATATATATATATATATATATAGAGAGAGAGAGAGAGAGAAAGAGATAGATAGATAGATAGATAGATAGATAGATAGATAGATAGATAGATAGATAGATCCTCGAAGTAATCTACATTAAAAATTAAAGCCGTCACTTAATAGAATCAACTACAAATACTGTAGTAAAGTTCTGAAATGTCTATAAAAAGAACAGTTTTTCACATATAATGCGCACATAACCATGGCATTACATCAGAAATGAAAACATTCCATAGTGGATTTTTTTCACGTTCTAATGAAGGTTAAGCATGACTGTCAACTGTTGCATTTGAAAGCAAAAAGAAAAATTGCACTAATAGATATCAAAAAAACAGTTTTCTCTTACTACTTGCACCCGTGAACAACACAGTATTGTATTATTACATACACCCTTGAAGATGATCTCGATAGAAGATCAAATGTACTTGGGAAATGGAAAATAAAAACGTTTTTCAGAGTTTTAGCACATTTCTCACATCATTTAAGTGTAATACACAGAAGGTTATCCGTGAGTATGAAAGGATTTTATTAAAAATAATCAGACATAATGTTTGTCATATATATATATGGGTTTCTGTGTGTGTGTGTGTGTGTGTGTGTGTGTGTGTGTGTGTGTGTTTGTATGTGGGGGGTGCGTGTGTGTGATATCGATGTATTACTTTCTTTGTCCAAGTGAATTCTCCATCCAACGAAATAAATAATATACAGTATTAATTAGAAGACTGTTTCAAACATTATGTACGAAGCGACTGAAACCCAACAATAACTTCACGAAGATTTAGACCAATTAA